TTTTAGAAAACTTGTGGATATATTTGGTGGGCCACACATTAATAATGCATCTGTCTTGTTACCCCAGTCTCTGTTCCACAGAGCTCTCTATCGCTCTTACACAATTTTATGCACTGTCTTGTGCTATCTAACGCCTGGCTATTTTTCAGTGAACGTGTACTCAGGCCAGCATCTCACACTGCTAAGTGTTTCTCTAGCCCTCCATACTGCACAGCACTGTCCTGCTTAGCACATCCCATCTAAAACTATACAGATTATTTCTCATCCTTAGTACTACAGCATTGCAAAGCAGTCCCTTGAAAAAGGCATGTTCATGCTGATTGGCTTATCCCTGACTCTGCTTTCACACTAATTTAATTTAGATGGACATTCTTCTATTTTAACACTTGGTTAATAGAAGAATGTAGGCGTAGGAAACATTTAGATTCTTCTTCTACTGTCATTTCGGGGCAATTTATTGGCTCAGTTACTATGTACTAATAGTAAGTCAGCTACTAATTAACTTGTAGTCATGTTTGCATTGATAAAGCATACACTCGGGAACAGCCCTGCAGAGAAGGACTTGAGGGTGCTGGTATATGAAAAACCGAATGTGAGCCAGCAATGTGCACTCACAGCCTAGAAAACCAGGTGAGACCCCACCTGCAGTGCTGTGTTCAGCTCTGGGACCCCCAGCATAAGACAGATATGGACCTGCTTGAGAAGGTCCAGAGGAGGACTACAAAGATGATGAGGGGACTGGAGCACTTCTCCTGTGAGGACAGGCTGAGAGCTGGAGTTTTCAGCCTTCCAGTACTTCAAGGGGACCTACAGGAAAGGTGGGGAGGGACTTTTGATCAGGAAGGGTAGTGATAGGACGAGGGGTAATGGTTTCAAATAGAAAGAGGGGAGATTTAGATTAGATGAAAGGAGGAAGTTCTTCACTGTGAGGCTGGTGAGGCACTGGCACAGGTTGCCCAGAGAAGCTGTGGCTGCCCCCTCCCTGGCAGTGTCCAAGGCCAGGCTGGATGGGCCTTTGAGCAACCTGGTCTGGTGGAAGGTGTCCCTGCCCATGGCAGGGGGGTTGGAACTGGATGATCATTAAGGTCCCTTCCAACCCAAACCGTTCTATGATTCTTCTGTTTAAAAAGTGAAATATATGAAAGACGAAAGTAGTTCATAGAAACATGAAAGAGAAATCTAGTGTTTTTACTTAACTTCAAGGCCTTTTGAAAAATTCCTTCATTGATCAGTAATCTTTGCTGGGTTAATATTTCTGTGAAATACAGTTTTATGTATTTTTTCCAAGTTGTATTTCAGTCAGTTGTCTTTGCAAGATAATCACGTGAAGTATAGGCCTGATTTTTTTCTTGGTCATCAGTTCCTTTAACTGTGGACATTTCTGAGCTTAGAAAGCATTTTGAATTGGTCTATTTAAAATGAAGGGGGTTGCAAGGTTTTTTTCATAGTTTGGCATCTTAGGGCGAATGTTATATGTGCTTTATTTAGTTTTATCACTGTTCTAATCATATTCCCTTATTTTACTCTGAATCTCCTTTTACCAGTAGCGTACATATAGAATCTTGTCTTGTTAGTATCTGTGTTCACTAGTTCTAGGTCTTTCACATGATTAAAGGTAAATCTTACATTAAATATCATGTTATTGATTGGTACATGTGTTCTCTTTGAATGTGGGACTGAATCAAATACTTTCATGTAGTCCAGCCATACTATATTAGACTCCTTGTTATTTAACATTCTTTATAGGCTTTTCAAGCAGAATTTGATCCTCTGTTCCCCTCTTTTTTTTCCTTTTTTTTTTTTGGGTAACATCCTTCTGCCATCCAGCCAGTGAAATATGAGGGGTTACCATCAGGTGATCCAGTCAGTATTAGCAGTTCCCAAGTGATCTGGGAAAATGGGAACTTTTGAAGGCTCTTACCTTTCTTCCATTTCTTAGGAGTAATAGTTTTGCTTTCAAGGTTTTCCTGTTAGTATTTGGTGATCTTTTATTCCCATCACTATCCTTTATGTCTACATGACGTTTCTCAATTTTGTCTGTACTATAATTCTGCAAGAACATTCTGGTTTATGCTTGTAAAGCTCTCAAACACCGAAGCTCTAGCTGTAGTTGAAACATATATGCACTGCTTAATTGCAAATGAAAAATAATGCCTGTTTAAATTATAGTGCATTAGCTTCTTGCATAACGAAGTTGCTCTGATTTTAGCTTTGCATTACTAAATGATGCCATGCGCCTAAATAGGTCTTTTGAGAAGGGGCGCAAAGCTATAGAAAAGACAGCTCTTTCTCTGATCCACTAAGCAAATTACTCTTAACTAGAGTCTAGTTACACATTAGAATAATTTTTATCTTCTTTCTAATTGCAATTGGTTCTGAGAGTCTCCTGTCTGTGCATCTTACCATTGTTACAAACCTGTCTCAGAACCAACCATTATCCTTGAGTCCTCAGCCATTTTGCCTCTAGCTCTCGCATTTACATAATTGGCTCATTTGAGATGTTTACCTTGCAGCCCATGGAACAGGCAGCTCCTCTATACACATTGTATATTTCTTTTCCAATCAGTGTTCATCAAAACGAGTCAGCAAAAGCTTGATTCCTGCCCCTTTTGGTTTTGTGCTAGCTTTTAATTGTAATTTTGTTATTGCATAGAATCATAGAATCATTTAGGTTGGAAAAGACCTTTAAGATTGTCACATCCAACCATTAACCTAATACTGCCAAGTCCACATGACTGGGTTGGCAGGGGTTGTTATTGTAACAATGCATTAGTGTTTTGTAATTTCTATTGAAGTCATCTCTGTCATGTATTGAGCTCAGACTACTTTCTCCACTTTCTGTGCCCAATTGTTTTCCACTTTTTGTCAAAGAAACAGTATTATGAGGCTTCGTTCATTCTAAAATTACCTAGCTGTAATCAACTTTTACCTTTTGTAAAGCTGTAATCAACTCATTACCTTTTGCCATTCTGTTCTGGTAGAGACACTCTGGGTTAAACAGTGTTGATTAGTTGTAATACAGTGCTGCTCCAACACTCTATTCTACAGCATGGAGCTAGAAGTAATAGTCCCAGTTGTTGCTGTCTGGGACTAGCTTCTGTGGCTGCTAGAGAAGCTAAAAGCTAGTCCCAGCTAGACCTACACCGGCTGCTTGTCAGTACAGCCTGGTTGCCTCTGCAGTAAATTTCAGTACACACTGAAGTTTTCTGGGCCCATCTCAAGTCTGGCATGGAGAAAATCAAGCTGGAGTAATAAGTGCTGAGGTAAGTGCTACAGGAGCCATGTAGTTATCGATGCTTAGGGTTGCACAAGAGTTTACATTTGGACACAGTGCTAAAACCAAACTGTCTCCATGCATTTATGTCACAGCAGGCCAGAATTTATAAGTCCTCTTGGCACCTGGCATTCTGGAAAGTGCAATGCAAAGGCTGAGCCGGACTGGCAGGATGAGTGCTTATCTAGAACTGATAAATTCTGGGTAAATACTTCTGCTTGTATTTTTAAATGCATTCCACAGTACCTATACTGTTAGGGCTTATTCATTATTTGCAGTCTTCAGTATCCCAGGTAGAACAGGACTGACTATAATGAGGGACAACAGAAACCCAAACTGATAAGCCATACATGTTACCATCTCTGAAACAGATCTAGACACTCCCATCTCTATAGCAGGCACAAAATAATTGTCATTAACATTTGGTATACCGGTATCATGCAGTGTTGTCTGCCATGGCCTATGAGTGTCAAAAGTGGCTTATGTAATACACAGCTAGTGGGTATGCAAATTAGATGCAAATAATGCAGCTGCTCTGGCCCAGAGTAGTATTTCTTGGGTGCTTCATGTAAATAGTAGGTGTCTGGAAGGACTTGCAGGACTGGCATTGCAGGGCTAGCAAAACGGTAGGTACAGAGCAGTGATTGAGCACGGGGCACGAGGGTATTGAGTATGGATACTGGAGCTTGCAAGAGGTCACTGATACAAGGCAGCTTAAATTAAGACACTTAAACTGAGATCATTAGGTAAGGATTGGGAGTTTAGAACAAGGGGCATGAGAGAAGAATTTTGATACTCAGCAGTGTCTGACACCCTCATCTGTCTTGGTTCTTTCCTGGTGGGTCTCTTGGATATTGGGCTATGTTGAGTTCTGTTAGCTGTGAAACTGAAAGAGAGAGGATGGGTAGAGGAGCTACAGCAAAGTTAATGTCCCTTATGTGGCTCCCATAGAAATAAAAAAAAAAATGTTTTCCTTTAAGCCAAAACCACTGGATAGTGTAGTGTAAGATCTTCAGATTATGTGCAAATCTCCCAAGAGCAAAGCAAGACCCTGGCTATATACACAAGCTGTTACACTCATATGGCATGTACACCATTTGGGAAGTCCAGCTGTGTCCCTTACAAATATATCAATGCAAGGAAATTCAGAGCATATGTGCTGGCAAAACCAAGTGGTTACCAAAGATGTCAGGGCTTCCTGGACTTTCTACTGTAAGATTTAGGTCCTGCATTGTGGTAATAAAGTTGTGGCTTGTTTCAAACTGTGAGTCATTATTCTTGATGAAACACGCTTTTCACAAATTAGCTTTCAAAGTCAGAACAATCCACAGGTTATTTTTAGAGATTTTTGTTTTGTTTTGCCTTTCTTGGCAAAGTAACCAGGTATTTTTCTAATAAAGTTACAAATAAATTGTTAAAATTCATTTTAAAAGAAGAAATCTGATCATAGTACAGTTTTACTCAGCCTTTTTGGTTTTGTTATTTCCTTCTTTTACTGTCTCATATGATTTTTGTTCTCCTTTCTCACAGAGTGCTTGTTGTGACATTCCTGTCTTATCAGTGTGTTTCATCATCTCATTAAAAGTAACCCATATTAAAAATTAAGAATATCAACAGTGTGTACCAACTTCTTAAGTGTTATTTAAAGTCAACTTCCTGCTGATTGATTTATCCAAAATAGTTATCAGCTGAGCTGTAAAAAGATGTTTTCTTTTTCCTTTTGCAGACTGCAAATGATAACCTGCATACTGACGATGAGCATGAACTCAGAGGAGATAAAGAAAGCTATCTCTGTGCAGTGTGCCTGGATGTTTATTTCAATCCTTACATGTGTTATCCATGCCACCACATCTTTTGTGAACCTTGCTTAAGGATGCTTGCCAAAGACAATCCAGCCAGCACTCCATGTCCACTGTGTCGCACTACAATTGCGAGAGTCTTTTTCCAAACAGGTATAAAACTGAAAGTTTTTACAATACAGAAAAATATTTGTAGCTTTCCTTCCTCTTTCTGGCCTGAATAAATATGCATTTAAAAATATACTAAAACCCTGGTATCCAAGTATAGTCATAAAAAGAAGAAAGAAAGAAAAGAAAGAAAAGAAAAGAAAGAAAGAAAGAAAAGAAAAGAAAAAGAAAGAAAAAGAGAAAGAAAGAGAAAAAGAAACAGAAAGAGAAAGAAAGAGAAAAAGAAAGAGAAAGAAAGAAAAGAAAACGAAAGAAAGAAAAAGAAAGAGAAAAAGAGAAAGAAAGAAAAAGAAAGAGAAAGAGAAAGAAAGAAAGAAAGAAAGAAAGAAAGAAAGAAAGAAAGAAAGAAAAAGAAAAAGAAAAAAATCATATGCAATAGACCACATCCAAAATGCATGCAAAGCAAAATTTGGTGATGTTAATCCACAGTGAGGTTTTCTTTGCATTGAACTCTTCCTAGGACTAGTCCATACAGGCTTTCTTCAGTGGCAAGAAACTATTCTGTATGCATGTTTTAAAACTTTTTGATTTTTGTAGTGAGATTCTCATATTTTGCATTTCTTTGGTTTCCTCTTGCTAAATAATCACAAACTCCAACATAATAAATATTTTCTCAAAATACCCTGCCAGAAAAGCATTTTTAAAATTACTAACTTAATCACAAAAAAAAAAAAAAAGGCGGTTTTCTTGGGTTTACGGCTTTAATTTAGCCACAAGTGAAAACAAAGGCTGGCAGAACTATAGAATCCTCCTAACTAATCTTGTTTTTAAATTCTGCCTTCCTGGCCTCTTACACCTTCATCTCTAGTGCTCCTGATTTTTAGCAGTAGGAAAACATGGTGGTTAGGGGGTGTTTGATGTCCAACTAGGTAAAGGGAGAGAAGAGGGTGAGTAGTACTGTAGGTGGGATACCTGGAACAGTATGAGTCAGTCTTTCATGCCTGGAGCTTAAAAAGGTAAATTCAAGCACCATGGATAAAATTACACTATGTTACCTGGAGCTAGTCCCTTTACAGCACTTAAAACTGTGCGTAGACAGGTCACAAAGTGATGGAAATGACTCAGCCATGCAGGAGTGTTTGTTTATTTTTGCATGCTGCAGGGATCTTGCAGTGATCGTCTTTAAACTGAGAGAATGCTGTGATGATGACAGGTTGGGAATGCAGACTGAAGTATGATTTCACATTGATCAACAGCTGCCCAGCTTCTGTTTCTGGTTGTGGACAAGACTTTTCCTCTGCACAGGCTCAACTTCGTATAATTTGGTGGCAGACCAGTTCAAGGAACTGACTGGGCTAAATAAGAACTCATTTGGGTGGGAAGGAGGCATTTTTCAGACAAGCTAATTGCCCCAGGATAGTTCACTGGGGAGCTGCTGGTGGCCAGGGTAGAGACTGACTATGTCGGCACTGCAGCAGAGAAAATGGAAAGCTGCAGCCTGAGCACTCTTAGCACCCTGCCTGGATGATGTATAGAGGTTTCAAGCTGTTCTCATTTAGTTTGCTTAATGTTTGATGCTCCTTTGGATTTATATACAGATGAAGTGTGTTTCACCAGTAGAGAATTACTTTTAGTTGATTTAGGGCTATTTAGATTTAAATAAAAACTATTTAACAGATTTGCTGCAGTAAAATACTGCTGGGAGAACAAAAAGAGAGAATATAGATGCTTGCTAATACGTATTTGCAAAACTTCTCAACACATTTAAAGTACTGTCATTTAAGTGAAATATTAACAGGACTGTTTGTAGCCTTTGAATACTTCATATACAATGTGTAAAATACCTGATGGGAGGGAATGAAGAAGAGGGAGACGAACTCTTCTCACTGGTGCCCACTGGCAGGACAAGAGGCAGTGGACACAAACTGAAACACATGAAATTCCATCTGAACACAAGAAAACACTTTTTTCCTGTGAGGGTGGTCAAACAGGTTGCTCAGCGAGGCTGTAAAGTGTCCATCTGTGGAGACACTCAACACCCAACCAGACACACTCCTGGGCAACCTGCTGTAGCTGACCCTACTTGGGCAGCAGAGTGGACTAGATGATCTCAGGGGGTCCCTTCCAACCTAATCCATCCTGTGAAAATATTGAAAAGGTATGTAGTTTTTTTGAGGAAAAGGATTTGTGTGGCTAACGTGTAAATACACTATCATAAATATGTAAATAGAGAGTCTACTGTAAATAGCCATGACAATATGAGATGTGTATAGTATTAACAACTTCAGATGAGACAAATCCATATGGCCTTACAGCAGCTATTTGTGTATTGCCATTCAGTATATAGCAATATATGCTTGACTTAGCAATATATTTGAAAGTAGATACACCAAATTTACTTTGGTTTATTATACATATATTATGAAAAAAATTTTGTAATTTCCCAGTGCATAACATATTGAGCAGCTTTTAAATCAACCAAGAAATATTGATTGTGATATCATATCCTGAGAGAAATTAGTAAAATCAACACATTAAGGAAGATGGATGGTGCCAGACCAATGTAAAGGGTAGTAAATATTTTTTTTTACTCAGGAGATTTATTCAGACTTTTAAAAGTTATGGTAAAGTCACTGCTGCTATCGGTTTGTGCAGCCAGCAAAGCAAAGTTGCTAGCATTTTTTACATATTTCTCTAATACTACAGCTGGGGTGTCTTATTTCCATCACTAATTTATTCTGCATACTTTCTGCAGCTTTCCTTTTGTATGACTGCACTTTATTTCACAAGGATGTCTCAAAAAGAAAACATTTAAAGATATATTCAGAAGTTCACTTTTTAGCTTGTACACATTTGCAAACTGAACACAACTGCAACAGAAGGCAAAAAGCCTTTTTTGATCAGAGCCAGTTGCTCTGTTAGTGTCTGCCACGCATTTCCATTTTTCTTAAAGGCTTTCTTAAAAATCCTTCTCCCATCAGGATAAATTCACATTTGGTCAGATGATGGAGTGCCCAGGATACATGTAAGACCACAGCTTTTGATCTGATTGCAGCAACCCACTTCAAGCATCTCTGTCTTTTAAATGCCCCCCCTGTCGGAGGAAAGAGCGAGCCAGGGATTGGCTTCTACAATTCCATTCGTATAAAGCTTCATTTATGTCAGGTGTTTCCAAGAAGGGCCAGATCTGGCACTCATGTACAATAAATCCACCACTTTGGAGAAATGCAGATGCAGTGTAGTGGTTGTGCACGGGAGGTCCAGACATGTGGCAGGTAAAGGGTCGCATATGTACAGAGATGTGGCCTGGCCAGCCTGAAAGGATCTTTCATTAAAAGCCTAACCAAGCAACCTTCTAAAAGCCATTAAGAGTTTTCACCACTGCCTTTTCTGAAAAACAGGAATTAGATTCGTCACAAGAGATTTCAGTCTTTAAATTTGGACAAGTTGAAATAACTGAGTCAATTTTTATGGCCTGTGGAAGGAAACTGTTCTCTGTTGATGCTGTGAGAGGCAAACAGAGTCTCATCAGAGGCTATTTCTCTGAATCCAAATAGTTCTTAATCCAAAGACATTCAGTAGCATACAAAGCTCTTATATAAAAATTAAAAAACACTAGTGAAAAATACACAGCTTGTTCCTTTTACATTTAGGAGAGAAAATGTCCTCTTCAGTGATAGAGGTTTGTGGGTACAGTAGCGCTGTTCTTACACAATGAGAAAGAAGGATTTGGAGATTTTGGTACTCTGCATGTGTTGTGTAGCCTCATTCCACCTGCATTCTGACACCATGAAATACAGAGTAGTTTTTGGAGTAGGACCAGCATACTTCTGTGCTTCAAATCTGCTAATGCCTTCCTCTTACATAGAAGAAGCTGCTGCAACCAAAGGACATTTGGAATTTTTTCTTCTTTCTTGAGCTTGTTCACAAAAAGCTTAGCTTTCTCAAATTTTCCAGAGAAAAAGATGTGATCCTTTCATAAAATATTGATTATTGAAAAAGTATGTACAATTGCAATTAGCCAGGTAAAGTAATAATATACAAGCCTTTTCAAAGATCTGTGAAGGGGCTTTTTCTTTCTTTTAAGGTACAGAAGGAATTATGGTAGCGGCTGCTATTATTAGTATTTATCTGGAGCCATGGTGGTGTCAAGGGCCAAAATGGGGCTTTTGCAGTTTTCCTTAACTACTACCTTGGCAATTCTGTCTGTTACCAGCCAATCACTTCTTCTCTGTGGCAGGAAAATGTGGTTATTTGAAAATTGTTTTCTATTGTTGTATTGCTGTGGATAGGTTAGTTTGACAGTTTTGAGTAGCAGCCCATGTAGATATTTCCCCAAATTTTATCCCAAGAAGCTGATGATTTCTTGAGATTAATAAATTTTGTCAGCTCTTGAAATGAGTCAGTAATAATTCTACAAATATCGTCTTAATCACTGTTAATCCAGAACATTTGAAAAATCTCAAAAAAATTTTTCACTCTTCCCCTCTGCTTGCATTACTGTTACTGAGTGATGGTGTTACACAAAAAAAATATGAACTGAGAACTAATACCATAGTCAGTTTGATAGAAGTCATTTTCATTCATAGAGGTCATATTAGTTTTGTAAGTTAAATAGCCTGATTTATTATGGACTTAATTTTGCTTGAATTTGGCATAATCCTTCCTAAATGCTTTTTTTCAGAGGAACAGAATTGAAACAGCATGTTTAAGACTTCTTGCTTATCTGGAAATGCTTGAATTTTTGTGTTTTTAAAACAATTTAAGAGATGTTATAATCAGAAAAATGATTACACAGCAGACAAGGCATTTTTATTTTGTAGGATAAACGTATTCAAATTATTGCTATATTTATAGCATTGATGTGTACATTCTTTCCCATTAATTATTGTAGAACTGAACAACTCTACCAAATCTTTTTTCCCTATGGAATATTTGAAGTTAAAAGAAAATTTTCAAAAATCAAATTCTGCAAAATGGCCTCTACCAAGCTGCAAGAAAGGTTTCAGAGTTTTTGAAGGTAAGTTTTTTAGTTTTTCCCTAAACTTCACTCAGTCTCACATATAATATTTGAAAATAAGTCTCTAGCTAATATATGCCATAGAATCAGAGATGAATGGTTATTAATATAGAGCTGACTTAAATTCTCCTGGGTGACTCATACACAGTGCTCTGAATCTAAAGATGAACTGCAAATTGTAAAAAGACAATTTGTGCATGTACCTTTTTATGTATTCTTAAATCTTTAATTTTTTGCATATTATCAGGATAATTGTATGTAGTTTTCTGTTTGGAAAAATTTTTCTCTGTGTAGTAGATTAAAGAAAATTACTCTGTGAAAAAAGTTACTAGTTCTGAGTGTGGTCAATAAAGACCTCTCTAAAGAAAATCAGAATCAGTCTTTCATGAAACAAGTCGTATTAAACAGTTGGAATAATATAATATATATTATTCTGTATTGCTTGTTTTATACATACAAAAAAAAAGTAAAGGGTGTGGTGAGTGGTTTTGCTTATTATATGAAGGAAGCTTAGGCCCCTTGTTGCTACTTTAACACTTAAACATTTTCATGGTTATTAACTGCTTGTTAACGGAAAAACATCTAAGTTAGACCAATGAAATGTGGGATTCACTGTTTAACCATGTTGCCCTGTTTTCAGTCTAATGGCCTTTTTCACCAGGCTTCATCTACATTTACTTATACAGTTTCTTCCCATAGTGATAAGTCTTGCTAGCAGATATATTTTTCCTGTTTGTAAGAGCAATGTAGATTGCTTCTAAATGTATGTGGAAGAAATAAAACAGGACATCATTTTTATATTCCTTTTGTGAGTCTACCCAGGCCTTTCTGCAGGTCAAATGTGATAAATTCTGGTCCTCCACTTATAAAACTGTGTCACACAACACCATGATTTGATAATGAAAATAACAAGAAATGCTTCTAGCTATCAAAAATAAGCAGACTTGAGAAGCTTGAGAACTGGTAGATCATCTTTGGTATGCTCAGAGGGGAAGCTGTTGGCAGGAAAAACAGAGATGAGCATTTCTTTTCTCTAACAGCAGTTACTGTAGTGTGGATGTTGATGCTGAGCTTATTGGTTTATTGTAATGCATTACTTTACGTGTGTAACATAGTTCATATATGTTCCATAGTGTCATATTAGCTATGTCTTTCATAAATATGAAAAGCTACCATGATGAGCTTTGTACAAAACATAAATAATTAAAAATAAAAGGAAGAACTTGAGAGGTCATTCAGTTTCAGTATTGTACTACCTGAAAATTTGGCATGTTGTTCACACTGGTAATTCAGAATGCTATATTTGTCTCCAAAGGATAGCCCAGAAGTCCCACACCGAATGGGAACATGATTAGATCTAGTTAATAGGAAACCCAAACCACATAGTTGTCTGAAACTGTCTTTGTCTTCTTAAATCGAAATGTTTCTGCCATGTCTCTCTCTTCTGACTTTTTATTTGAATAAAAGCTACTGCAGGATTTGTGCTAGTTTAAAACGCAAGTGTACGATGTTTTCTTCCTCAACTGCTTTTTTGGGTTTACAGTTAAATTGTGCTTGGCAGTATCTCAAGTTCCATATTTGTTTTTCTCAATTTTGCTCATGTTCCCTGCCTCAGGAGGCTCCCAGGGACTTTACAGGCATAGAAGATTGAGCACACTGGCAGCAAAAGACTTCTGACACCATAATAGATGCCCTCACAAATGCAAACTCTAATATCACTGAGAAAGGTAGGGGAAAAAAGGCTGCTTAGATTAATTTTTCGTTTCATTAGGAAGGTGACAACCTTATTACAAAGTGTTAGAGTTGGAGCAGGCAGAATAAAAAGAATGGGAAGAACAGAGTGGGTATGTGAGTAGAGTGACTGGACTGAAAAGGGATATGATTACAGTTCTTAGAAAGCAATAAAAACATGCAGTTTTGAATGTGAGAACAATTGCCTCTTTGTAAGACAATACTGCATTGTCAAAGAAGAAGTTCTGTGGCCCTGTTAGAAATGCATGTGCTTTTTTGTCTAGTTCATATCCAGCAGATTCAATGGGCACTGAGAATCTAGCAGCTTTTTTCAAACTTCATATGATTCCAGTTTTCCATATCACAAAACCTCTTCAACAGTATTATTTTAATATTCTAGACATAAAAAATGGTAAACTCTGAATGATAAACTGTGTGGTGCTAAACTTGATAAAACCAGACCTAGAATTGGATTGGGATGCAAGGAGAGAAAGATGGCTGTTGAGAAGCCTAGATTGTATAAAGATTTATCAGTTTGAACTGATTTAGACTTTCTGAACATTGCAGGACTGCTAGATAAAGTCAGGCATCTTTTCTTTTTCCTTACTTTTTTTCCTGGACTGATTCACTGTGCCAATCAGATTTTGTAATCAATATATGAGTCTTCTTTCATATGAGAATTTCCGTGAGGAATGTAAAATTATCTTCTAACTAAAAAAAATAACCAAAACATGAGTAGTTTTTGAGTTTTTATACAGAAAGTAAGAACCCTCAGCACTGTAGCACTTTTGTGCTTTCAAGCTGACGAAAATTGCTCCAGAGTAATTTGTTCTTATACTGCACTGAATTTTTTTTCCAATTAAAATCATTACAGAATTCCCATTTGTTTCATAAACAGTACATATGGTATTGCACTGTATGTGGTATGCTCTATTTGGTCAAGGATAGGTTCATGGTAAAGTGAGAATGCTATTCAAGAATGAAAGCTAATCTTCTTTTACCATTCAGATCTTTAATACATGTGAAAGTTAACAAGCTGTGGTGGGTTG